CGAAGCTGCACCAGGGGAGGTTTAGACTGGACATTAGGAAGCATTTCTTTACTGAGAGGGTGGTCAAACAGTGGAACAGGCTTCCTAGAGAGGTGATCAGTGCCCCAAGCCTGTCAGTGTTTAAGAGGCATTTGGACACTGCCCTTAGCAACATGCTTTAACTTTTGGTCAACCCTGAAGTGGTCCGCCAGCTGGACTAGATAATCATTGTAGGTCCCTTCCAACTGAACTAGTCTATTGCATTCCATTCTAATTTGTTTCTGAGTGACTTTCTTTAGGTTGCAATACATATCATAAATAAGAAAGGCAAAATATTTCTGTTCTGCTGCTCTAACCTTATATCCGTCCAAGAATTAACTGATGCAGTATTCAGGTTTTTTTTTCATTTATTTATTTATTTTTATTTAGGCAAAACATGCCAAATACTTTCAAACCAGAATTGAGGCCCATATGTTGGTTTGTACTGAGCACTGCAATGCTATTTTCTGTGGCACAAACTGCATGCAGCCAATGTTCTCTGATGCTGAGAATCAGTTCAACTCCTACTCTGGTTTTAAAAGATTTGGAGAGAACAGGTGACAAAACACTTATCTGGCACAAAGATTGTGGACAAGATAATGTTTGTTTCAACTTTAAGGAAATCTCTTAGGCAGTTTGCTGAAAGAGCTGTGGTTGGATATTGCATTTCCAATGCAGAGATGGCTTCATATGCGTTAACCTGGAGACGCAGTGGAATCTCAGCTGAGATCTGCTATCTGACTCAGAGATGGAAGTGGATCCTGACATCTTGGTGCTTACTGGTCTGAAACGCAAAGGAAAACGTGATAAAGATAACAGGCAAATTTCACATCTGCTTTTTTATAAACCATTTTTTTCAGCTTGCTACAGAATATCAAACTGTTAACAATTAATGAACCAAAGTTATGAGGAATCCTATTAATAAATATTGCCATGGGATAAGACAACCTCCAATTCTGAATTGTGGTAGGGATTGTTGTATAGGTTTTGTTAGTCTATTTCTTTTCCATAATTGTGTTTCTTTTTTGTTATTTGCAAGAAACGGAAGAGATATGAAAGCCTCCTGGTTCCATCTAAAATGAACTCCAAAAGCATGTATTACAGCCATTTCCACTCTGAAACCTGAAGGGTGCAGTTTAATTTTCTTGTGTTTGCAGATTTCATGATTGAAATAGGTGATTATGTAAAGATTAGTATAGAAAGATTGTTAAGAGATTTGAGATGTAAGTTGTTTCTGTGCTTGAAACGGTGCAGAAGTATGTAATGTCAGTTAGCAGATCACTGAGAATTTCAAGGGTTTGCAAATGACAGTTCTCTCAGGGTTTAATGCAATGTTAGGAAAAAATACCACACAACCTTAAAATCAGAGAGCATATCATTTTATAACTCATAGATTATTTTTCTGTGGAACTTGTGATATTATTGTTTGACAGGAACCAATTTCCACAGATGCAGAAGAGATTCTTCATGGGATCTCCCCTCTGGAGAGATTAGCCATTTTTGGTGTCACCTTCCTCAGGATGCCACAGCAAACTTTCCATGGGTCTGCAGTTTGCAGAAAAGGGGGACAGCCATGATTGTCCTTCTAGTAGCAAAAATTACCTTCTGCAGTTGTATTAGCTCTTACCTGCTTCCAAAGTTTTGAGTCTTGATGCCAGTCTGGAGATGTACCTAGGTCCTGTGTTCCTGGTAGATCCTGCCAGATCTCACAAGGGCCGGGAACCTCAGGTAACCTCTTCTGGCTGGGGCTAGCAGGACAAGGAGGCATTATATGCTTTTCTTCATCATGAAACTTAATTCTCTCTGGGATTCCCACTCCACCAGATCCAGGGTTATGTCACATCAGAAAAGTACAAAATGCTTCAAAGAAATGAAATAAGGATCTGTACTCTGAAGAGCTTACTAACAAGAGAACAAGCTCAGGATGAAACTGTTTGAAGCAGGCAAGCAGTGCAGCATTGTAGTACCTACCAGGATGAAGCTCTCAGGTTCAGCATAGCTTTAGTTCAGCACTTGTAGAGAAATAGATGTACATGAAAATATTTGGCATGTGTAACAACTTCTAATGTGATTTATGTGCACTTTAAGCAAATGAACAGAACAAAAGTAGAGTAGGCCCTCACCAAGTAACTAACCTCTAGCTTATTTGGCCTGTGCTGTGTTTATATCTCATGTGACAGTAGATGACAATCCTTTCATGAATACGTCAAACTCTGGAGTTCAAGGCAAGTGTGGTTAACTCCCAAATGTGGTTGCTTATCTGAAATACATCTAAACCTCTTAAATCTGCAACAGTGAGCTGGAAATCTCGTAGCATCAGGCCTTCTTTCTAGAATGGCAGGGATAAAACCATTAGTGTTTTTCCTATGAAAAACTGCACCTGTTTTTAAAACCCAGACACTTAGATGTGAACTCTGTGGACAAAGATAGAAAAAGACATGAACAAAAATTTCACCATACTTAAAATGTGCTGTGTTCAGGCTTCTTGTGCGCGTCACATTTATGCAAATGTGTTCAAAATTAGGTATGAATGCTTCAGGGAAGTATCACTGTATGCTGACAGTGCCTGGCACAGCCCAGGGAAAATACCGCATGTGCCGGCTCCCACATCCAGCCAGCTTCCTTGCAGAAAATCCCCTTTGCCTTTGGAGAACCTTGTGCAATACAAAGGGACTGCTGCAGGACCACTGCATCCTTTACTGTCTGTGCAGTGTGGCCAGAGCCTCTGTTGAGGCCAATCTGGGCTCTTTTTTTCCCAAAGTCTAGGGCTCAGCCTACACCCTTTTCATCACGCAGTACATTTATGTCTGTTCATCGTATTTGTGAACTCACCTCACCTGGATGTATTTAGGTACAGCATGTGTTGGGGTCAGTAAAACTGTAATGGTTTTCAACAGAGATGAACATAACTGTGTTAGGGACAAATGTAGCAAAGCTGTATTCATACTGTATGTCAACAAAAGTGTGTGTCCCAAATCTGTGCCATAAGCAGAGAGTGAATATGTTTAAAAGTATACTAAATATTATAAATAAAAGCAGGGAACCGCCTTCTCCCCAGGGAGCTGGACTGCTGTTTGAGCTGTTGCAGTGGTAATGTGTGAAAAACCCTAGAGTAGAGTAGACTTTGAAAAATAGTGCTAGCTTTGGCATTTGCTCCAAATACTATTGGAAGAGGATCATTCAGAAAGGACGCTGTTAAGTGAAACTGGACCGGAATTCAGATCATATTAAATGGAACATTTTTTTACAAATTCTCAGCTAAAGAGGTTTCCAAAAAATGATTATTAAAACATAACATTTTGCTGCTGTTAACAACCTAACCATTATAGCGATGGCCTGAAAGTGAGGGAATAAAAAATTTACTATTGGTAACAAAACTGTCTAGAGTATGTTCTTCACAGTCCAAAAAGAGAAATGCAAATACTGTATATTTATAGTCAGCCCTCAGAAACTGGGAAATGAATAGTAAATGAGCTGTTTTCTTTCTGCTTCTTGTAACTGGAAATATTTTCCCCCATTAAACACTTGGAGGCCAGCATTCCATCTTTGTATTGAATATTTTCTCAAACAACAACTATTGACTGCAGCAGGATATTATCTAAGTAAGAACATGACTTGATTCATGGCTTTTATGTTTGACAGTGTTCCTTTAATGCTCAGGAGTACATGTGTGTCCACTGTGTTCAAAGGTATTTTGTGTATATGCATCAAGTTAATGCATTTTTAAACTGAGGAGGATTCTCAGCAGGATTTTGAAAAGGAAAGTGCTACAATTCTGCTTCTATTGATGGGGAGGTTAAAATTCCCAGTGGGAGCAGTCTTAGGCCCACGTGGAGCATTTCTGAAGATCTCACCAGGTACCGGAAACATCCTTAAGCTGACAGCTTTGTCTCTATTTTTGTTAAGTGTCAAACGCCACAGAGCTATTGGCCTCAACTTGAGTGGAGAAAGCTTTTCTATGACAGCAAGGGCTGGCTATGTTTAGTTAGCTAAACATAGCTGACTAAACCATAGCTCCATGGCTGTGGAGAAGATGACTGCACTCCCTTTCCTTTTCTGCTGTTATTTATGAGACTCTCTGGTGTATTAGTTCAGTGGTGTTTTCCAGAAATGTGAAAGAGGGAGAGAAAGGATGGGCAGGTAGTTTGAAAGCTGAGGTAATTTTGATGGAATTCACCTCTGTTCCCTGACAGTCTGGCATGTCTTGAGTACATCGCTTCACTTCTGCGTTCTTCAGTTCCCTCTCTGTAAAGTAGGGTAATACATCTCATATCATAAAAGCCGTGGCTATGGGGTAAATCTATTCAGAATGGTGAAGTGTTCAAATTCGTGATGGAGGGCAGGTACGTGCCTTGGACAAACTGGAAATGATACCCCTCCAAAGCAATCGGAGCATTACATACTGGCAGCTGCAAGCTAATCAAATAGACTTACTCCATTTGGAAATACGATGCAGAACAGTAGATGAGAGGAAAAAACGTAGAAGGAACTTGAAGACACAGCCTTCTCAAGTTATCTCACAAAAGCTGGTGAAAGGCAAATGTTTCTTGAGGCTGAGACATCTCTGGCTAGCATGATTACATGCTGTAATGTGATAGCCGAGCTTGTAGCCGAGTGTCACATGAGGCACCGTAGCCTTCTGAGGTGGTTAGGCCCACTTGCTTCATTACATTATCTTTGAGAAATTCCAGGGGACTTGGAAATAAACGAGTTCACAGTCCTGTTGCTGTGCGTGGTAAGATTGGGCTGGGGTGGTGTGTTTCAAATAAGAAATTATTTCATGTGTACTCAGGAATTAGTCTATGTGGCTTTATACACTCTTCTTTCACAGATGGCAGTGCGAGTAGGAATTATTACTATTGTTTTAAAACTCTGGTAATCACTTACTTTCATGCCTTTGAAAGTACAAACAGCCTGTTTCAAAGGTTTACTTGCCACAGTTGTATTACTCATACTGCATTTCTTGCTTTGTTTGCTGGTAGAATACGTACACCAATGCAGACAAGCTTTTGGAGGCTGCAGAGCAGTTGGCTCAGACTGGGGAATGTGACCCTGAAGAGATCTATAAAGCAGCCCGGCATCTGGAAGTACGAATTCAGGACTTTGTCCGGAGGGTGGAACAGAGGAAGCTTCTGTTGGACATGTCAGTCTCCTTCCATACCCACACGAAAGAGGTAAGGTGTGCATGAAGGAATTTTTCTGTGCATTGCAGAGTGCTGCAAGAGGCTGACTCTGAAAACTCAGATGACATAGGAAAGGCATCTTCACTGCCCAGGGCTGATATCCAGTTCATTTGATGCATATGACTAACTGTTGTAAAGAGGAAACAAAATGTGAATGAAACATATGAATGATACCGTACACTAAAATATAGGGACAGCGTATCTAACATATCAAGCGGTGCTTAATTCACAACTAGAGTGTGTTGTTATAAAGCAAGAATTCTCTTGTAAGAACGTGAGTTGATACGAACACATTAGATATAAACATGCTAGCAGTTTGATATGTATCCTCAGAGGAATTCCATTTGAATGTAATGCTAACTAATGTAGCCATTATTGTTAAGTGTTACTGGAAATCTTACATTGTTTAATGAGGCAGACTTCACTTTTCAAAATTACAGTTAAAGAGCAAATAGCCACATACTGATACAGTGAATCAGTGAGGACCTGAATAAATGCTGTTTAGTGTAATTGAAAAATATCCAGAGATAAGGCTGTCTCGCCAGAGATACAGTGGACAGGACATCAAATGGGAGGCCATTGGGAATGTAATTAAAGCATACTTCACATTTTTCTGCAGACCAAAGGCCATTCAGTGATGAGTGACTTTTAAAAGATAGGATTTCTACTGAGAGAGATGGAATTAGTCAGAATGGTTGTTTTCATGCTCTTAAAAGCTGGAAGCTTTGCCTGTGTTTGTTGATTACATGTTACAAACAAGTTCTGTATAGCAGGCTTCAGTGTGTTGGATTTGCCTCCTTAAATAGAAGGTGTATGCACCCATTTGTATATATATGTATATATATGGAAGATGGAATTACAGTACATCCGTCATAGCTATTGATACATGAAGATTTCCTTTTACTCGTTCTGCAATATACTAAAATCTAGATACTTTAAACTCGTGAATAGCACCATTGTTTCCAGAGTAGCTCAAATGCTTGCAGCTATGCTGGTTTGCTGCTGGCGAAACTTAATTGGTTATTTCCTCAGTCAAAATTATTTCATAACAGTTTCCTACTGTGATTAACCTCGCTTCACCTATGCAGGTGGTGGCTAGTAACACAAAGATAGGCGTGACTCCAGGAAGTTATCAGAATAGTATGTTTTCTCTCATGTAAATTTCTTCTGATGATTACTGATACTGTGTAGCCTAATTTGGGTTTGGGAATTAGAGCCTCCCTGTATGAAGGGGTTTGTATTGCAGTGCACTATACTCGCTTCTACCCTTCTTCAGCAAGAAGGGAATTTGCCTGCTCCACTCGCCTGGTTTTAATGAGCCATGGTTTTGTATATAGAAATGCAGATGTATAACAATACACATTTTTTGAAACTGTTAAAAAACCAGTCTTTTGTGACAACATCAGTGCTGTTTACAAGATACTGAGAGTAAACCCTAAATTTCTGCCTCATTGACGTTTACCCATGGGACAGATTGGTGCTGTGATGCCTTTTTGGAAAGCTCAGTAAGTACTTGCTGTCAGTTTTAGGGAGATCCAGAGTGGATAGTCTCCAGGTGCCTCTCTATCTCTCCAGAGGGACAGTCAAGGGATGTGTAGCATAAAACTGGGACATCAGCAAAGTCAGAGTGGACCCAGGAATCCACATTCATCAGAATGAATGACAGCCATTGGGTCGGGTGCAAAGAAGCTGCTGAAGTTATTGCAGTCTCCAGCAGCTCCCCAGCATCAGAGGATACACAGTAGCTCTGCAAGAGAAAGGAAGTTTTCACTTACTTACCACTCTGTTAATTCACTCCTGTGGGGGCCAACACTCTGATTTTCTGCAGGTTCACTGAATTTCATTGTGTGTCACTAGCTACCTTCTTCAATGGCATGTTTCTGCTCTGGTGGGAGTCACACAGCCCAATATCTCTTTTTTTTTTTGCCAAAAATAATAAGTGAGGAAATTGATGTGGTTTTGGTATTTGTCTGCCAGCTGTGGAGATCCCCACAGACACAGTGAAGTAACCAAAGACTGCCAGGGGGGAAGTGCTGCAAAGGGCAAAGCATTATAACAAGAGAACCTTAGCACATTTTTGGATCTGTATTTGCCTTTTTATGCTATAAATAGATCGGCTCAAGTAGAAATGGCATGTTGCTTGGCCCTTCACGTTTATTGTAAAATGGCGAGTTAACCAATTTAATTGTCATTCTTCAATATGAATATAAAACAGATAGCTGGATTTCTCAAAAATTGAGAAATACAAATGTCCTTCCTTTGCCACAATGCCTATGATAACATTATGTCCTTTCTCTGTTTCACACTGACTCATCTTGGCTGGTTCCTCCCTGGGCTCTGACTAGGAAACGCGCTCGGCCCCGCTCAGACCTCCCAGCCTACCGAGCTGGGCTGGACCAAATGCAGGTTCTTGCTCTTGCCACTTGCCCACTTGTCGAGGTCAGATCTGCACCATCCATGCTCATTTTTTGAAACTGCTTAAAAATAAATTCACTGTATTTGCTGGGATTTCAGTCATAAACAACAAAGATAAGGTTAGATTCCAATTTTAAAATCAGTATTTATCAAGCGAAATTCCCTTTGAGTCAGTAGCAGTTTTAGTTGAGTTAAAGAGTTCAGAATCAGATTTAAATTATAGCAGATGTCAAGACAAAAAATCCTTTCGCTGAAGCAGTAAAATACAGGGACATCTGAGGTCCATTGGTGGTATTTTACCAGGGAGATCTGAGGTCCATTGCTGGTATTTTACCAGGAGGCATTCCAGTTACAGTGCTGACACATGCCTTCCTGATTAACCTTGCCCTTCCTGCCTGCCATGCTGTGCCTGATGCTGCACTGTGCTATGCCCATCCAAACCCATCACCTGGGAGTGTCTTGGAGCGAGGAGAAAGCAGTTGGGCTGGCATGTTAATGTGTTTAACACCTGGCATATTTTGCGTTATTCTAGAAGATATTATTAGTTACTTAATAATAACTGCATTATTCATTTTATCCTTTGTAGTTCTTAAAACCATTTCTTAAACTGTTAACAACTGTTTCTCTTATGTCCTTGGAAATGAATAAACAGTTCCCTTCATGATTCTTGGCAATAATGCAGGAAACTATGGCCTAGATGTATTTTTCATCTAAGTTTCCCAAATTCTCATTATTTCTTGATATATTAATCTACTGAGACAGAACTGGTGAAAGGGAGAATTAAGTAGAAAGAATCAGTCTTACTGACATGATTTTTATGGAAATAGTCTAAATATCTTCCTGCAATGAACGTGTCACTTCTGCCAGTCTTCCCAGCACACATGAATCGCATTTCTGATGTGCTAATTCTCAGGCATGGATGAATACATTGATTGTGAACTTTTCACTGCTTCACCTGTACTCTGCCCACCTCTTCATCTCCGCATGTGACTGCTCAGATTCCCAACAGCTGAGAAACTTTTAACAGCTCCCATTTTTTAGAAGTGATCTTGTCAGAAAAACGTTTCCTCTTGTAATCTGCCTTGCTAGAATTTCTTCAGGAGAATATATAGTGTTGAATTAGGGAGTCATTTAAATCCAGATATCCCATGAGCAATGAAAGTTAAGAGTGGCTTTTTCATACTACAGTAGACTTGAATCACTGCTCATTTCATGTGAAAGCATTGTAAGAGGATTCCTTCTGCTAAACACCGACTTATACAGCTGAAGAGACTGTGAATTAAGAATAAAAATAATTTTGATTTTTTTTTTTTTTTAAGTGGCCTTGCTTAATACATGCAATAGGCTGAAATGATGACTTTCTGGTATGGTAAAAACATTTTAGAGGCATAAATTTAGAGCAGTCCCCTAAGCGATTGTTAGTGTCGTAACTCATGAGTAATGTAGTTATCCTATTGCCATACCAATAAAAGAGATGTTGTGTCCCCCACTCTCATACAGTATTCCTTATGCTGTCTTAGTTTATAGCCAATATTTTCATACCCTTTTAGACTTTCCTGATGGTGTGAGCAGAAACTTGATACCTTGGGAATCAAATCCAATTAGCTGTATGGCAGGGTAAAGTTATAAATTATTATCAGTGGGGTAAATGCATTCAACAGACTTGTACCTGAATAATTTCTCTCAGGATTAAGTGTGATTGAATTCAGGTTCTTACTTCAGATCTGAATCAATTATTGGCAGGATTGTCAGATCTTGCACTTTTATCACAAATCTCATGATAGTTGATGTTTTTCTGTGAGCTCTCAGCTGCTAGGATCAAATAATGATACAGGATTCTTGGCTATCATTTCATTTTGTTTAAAAGAGAATAGTTTTTGATCCTGCTGGAGGAGAGGTTGCAGATGTGATAAAATCACACCCTGAAGACTCAAAAACCTCAAGGCAAATAATAAAAGCATCTTGTAATTCATTGTCTGAATCTTAATATTGTACGTTGGTCTCATAGTTTTATACTTACGGTTCTGAAGTGTACTTTACAATTCCAAGTATAAAAATATAGACACAAAAGAGCACTGTCACCATTTCCGTATTGTTAAAAACTTTTAAAATCCTCTTGCACAATTAAATGATGAATTAGCATCTTGTAAATGTCTTTACTTTCCATAACAGATTTTCTTCTCTGTTTAGCAATCACAGTTTTGTTTTCCTGCCTGGCTTAAAGTGGCAGGAAATACTGCTACCAGAAGTTTCTGATACAGCTTCAGTGCTGGGGGTTTAAACAGTATAGAAAAGCCCAGGAATTACTTTTGTCAAGTAAGTGTTGAGGTCAGGCTACATGTAGATAGCTCTGTGTGTTATCTACATGCATATAAATTTGTGGCTTCATGGGCAGGATTTTAAGCTTTTAGGATTAATGTAGGTGTTTAAGAGCAAGTGTATGTACCTCAGTGTATTCTCTATATAGCTGAAGTAAAGGTTTGTTGTGTTACTTGTTGTGTTGGCGGATAATGCAGTTGCTAATTTAAGAACAAGAAGGAACTTCACTGAATTTAGAGCCCTTTACAGTGTATGGG